GGTCCCAGTGACAAATAGCACACCAGGGATACCACAAGCAGAAAACTGAACTCCTTATCTTCTCCCCCCTGCCCACACATCTTATCACCCAGCTCTGCAGCCCAGGAGGGCACCCACCCCAACATCAGGGCTGTGAGCAAATTCTGCTGCTCCTAAACCTCACACACCCTTTGCTCTCCACACAGAGTGCCCTCGACCCTGCTACTCCTTCCCCTGCATTTCTCAAGCATCTGACATTTGCACAACTTCTCCATTTTGCTGTTCAAGAAAAAGGAAAACGAAACTGTTTTGACGTTATAATCCCCCCCACCCCTTGAATCACTTCACTGAAATCCCCCGGGGGTGCTCAGAGTGCAGTTCTTGCTTTTCAGGTTTCCCTCCCGAGCCCAACTGTCATTATGTCACGGTGTTTTGGATCCGATTTTCCTGTGTTACACACCCTTCTGTCTTCATATGCTGGATGCTGCTGTCGTATTTTTTTCTTCCTGAGGCTTTTGAACACATAAATCCACACACAGTACACACACACTCTACACATCCTATATAAACAATAACCATACTCTAAACCATAACCTTCACCTTACCCATAAAAAAAAATACCTTTCAAAAACTCAATTCTTCAGTCTCACTAGACGCAGGGAGAAGGAATAGCACAGGAATGATGACTGTCACCTGTCTGGGCACTCTCTTTCCTTTACCCTTCCCTATTTAGGACCCCTGCAATTAAGCAAACAATATACAGAATATTCAGGATACCGAGCGTGTTCTCTATTTTGGCAGGGACCCTGCATAACCCCCGATGCTCACACAACAACACGAGTACCCGTTATACACCAGCCACATTTCAATCCTTCCATCAGGACTCACAAAAACAACTGGAAGCACACTTAAGGAAAAAACGCCGTCCCAGCCCGGTTTGCTAAAATTATTTTTTTTTAAACGATCCCAGGGAAATCTAAGCGGGAGTCCCGCGCAGTTCCCCAGGGCAACAAGGCGAAGACATCCAAATAAATCCGGTTTGGAGATCCGACCTGTAATACGCCGAAAACAAACCGCAGCTCTCCCATCACACCATTCCCAGCTACACAACAGCGCGTCCTCACCGCCCTGTGTTTACATCTCTTCTCTCGCAGCCCGCGCTCCAGTTTTTCTTGTTCCACCGAACCACTCGAGCCGAGACCTCGAATGCCACCCCGCGTTCTCCCCGCTCCCGGCACAGGGACGGCAGAGACGGAGGGGCAGCGATGGAGGGGGAGCTCACAATAGTGCGGGGGAAGGAAAAGGCGGCTAAAACGCGGAGCGGCGCAGGGGGGTGGCGGGGTCGGTTCTCCCGCGGGAGGGAGCGGAGGGTGCGGGACTTACGCAGCTTTTTCCACATGGCGCGGTGGCAGGCGATGAAGCCCTTGCGCAGGGCCGCGCACACCTCGGCCGGCTCGGCCGAGCCGAAGCCCTTCTGCTTCTTGATGAAGCCCCACAGGTTCTCCCGGGCGAACTGGGCCGCCTCCCGCCCGCCGTGCCCGTCGCACACGGCGAAGAACGCGACGGAGCGGCGGGGCCGCCGCCCGGGGCCGCTGCCGGGGGGCTGCGCTCCCTCCTCGGCCGCCCGCGGGGTCCCCCCCCGGCGCCGCCCGCCCTCGGCCGGGGACTCGGCGGCGCCGGGGCCTGCGGGCGCCGCTCCGCCTTTGTGCGGCCCTGGCGGCGGCTCGGGCTCCACCACGATGTGGGTCACGTCCTCCATGTATTTCCTGCCGCCCTGGTCCGAGAACACGCTCACCCCGAGCGCGTACGGCCCCTCCATGGGGAGGAGGAGGAGGGGGGGGAGAGGAGGGGGCAGCTCGCCCGCCGCTCCCCGCCCAGCGCCGCCGACAGCGAGGACTATTGCGGGTGTCCCCGGGGCCGCCCGGGCATGTCCGCGGCGCCTCCCGCAGCCTCCCGGGGCCGCTCCCGCCGCGCTCCCTCCGCCCGCCGGAACGGGAACGGCGCCGGCAACGGGGCCGGGCCGGGCCAGCGCCCCCTGCGGGCCCCGCCCGGCACCGCCGCGCAGGAAGGGGCGGCGGGCGCGGCCTCGGCACCGCAGCGCCCCCCGCGGCCACCGGCGGGACCGACCGCGACAGGAGGGGGGGACCCCGAGACAGGAGGGGGGGGGACCCCCGCGACAGGAGGGGGGGGGGACCCCCGCGACAGGAGGGGGGGGAACCCCCGCGACAGGAGGGGGGGGGGACCCCCGCGACAGGAGGGCTCCGAGCACACACCCCCCCAGGTGCCAGTAGGATGGCAGCTACTGACTCGAAGCGCGGGACTCCCCCCGTTGCTCCAGTGTTACTCCGGCCCCAATCTTTCCGTGCTATAGGATGCCCTGTTACTCGGCCCCCGCTCTTCTCCTTCCCTGCTCCTGGAATGCTGGAGATTCCCCGATCCCATCTTTCCCTGCTCCGGGATCCCCTGGGTGTTACTCCAGCCCCATATCCTTCCCTGCTCCAGGACCACCTGGGTGTTACTCAGCCCCCCATCTCTCCCTGTTCCAGGTACTCCAGCATTATCCCAGCCCCTCCATCTTTCCCTGCTCCAGGATCCCCTGGGTGTTACTCCAGTCTTTCCCTGCTCCAACAAGCCCAGCACGTTATCCTTCCCTGCTCTAGGAACCCCTGAACGTTACTCAGCCCCATATCCTTCCCTGCTCCAGGACCACCTGGGTGTTACTCAGGTCCTGCTCCAGGAAATCCAGCATTATCCCAGCCCCTCCATCTTTCCCTGCTCCGGGATCCCCTGGGTGTTACTCAAGCCCCACATCTCTCCCTGCTCCAGAAACTCCAGCATCATTCCAGCCCCTCCATCTTTCCCTTCTCCAGGATCCCCTGTCACTCATCCCCCTCATCTTTCCCTGAGCCAGAAACTCCAGCATCATTCCAGCCCCTCCATCTTTCCCTGCTCCTGGCTGAAATCCCTGCTCTCCCGCTTGGACAGTGATCCCTCTGGAATTACACATCCCACAGGACGTGCAGGGTTTCCACTCCTGACTATTTAAGACAGGAGGGGTTTGTGCATTTGGGTTTTAGAGCTGAAATTCTAGACCTTGTTTTACTTGCAGCTCCCAGAGCCCCTTCCCACCCCAGCGAAAACCACCGTGGAATTTTGCAGAAATACTTCCACGGAGATAATTGTTCAGCTTAAGGACTGCAAGGCCTTTGGATTTCCTTCCCTCGACCACATGAAAGTCAACGGTATTTTAAAAAAAAATAACAAATGTATCAACGAAGCTTTGGATTCCGGGAGCTCCGAGGGATTTGCAAACCTGTTACAACCATTAATGAATTAATCCCCACTAATCCAATAAGATAACGAGCCCTTCCTACTTTCCAGGTGTTTATACCATCAGATCAATCACCAGATCAGCAGCCCAAGATAGAATTGCTTTAAAAATCTGACCATTAAGTTTCATAACAGTATTTTAGATAAGTCTGTTGGGCGCTTCAACGGCGTGTAAAGGAGATAAAGATTAATTTGAGCTCTGTACAATCCCAAACACCTCGAGGTATCACTACTCCCCTTTTAATTAACATATAAAACATGGGCATGGCACATTAATTGCCAGGCCTGCAGCAGATCCACTGCCATCCACATCACAGCACACACACAAAATAGGGGGGGAATAAATATTTTACAATTACTTTTTAGTACAAAGCAGCCAGGAAATGAGGAAACCAACTTAAAACCACTGACCAAAAAAATGACAAAATAAGATTGTCACGTCTGTGTCGTCACAGGGACAACTAAAGCCCATCACTTCCAAAAAGTACAGTATTCCTATTTCATAGCTGGATAAATGTGGGCAGGGGTGTTGTCATGGGAGGATTAGTCCCATTCAATACAGGTGATGCTCTCCCAAACAATTTAGAGTGGAAAATCACAAGCTCCTCCAGGAACAGAACCACACAGATGGACTCCTACCCCTGTGCCTGGTGTCAACACATTCTAGGGAGCCTGGCATTTGTAAAATTTAAGGAAACAAAGGGGAAAAAATAGTTAAGAGGGAAGAAACTCCTCTTCACACCCCGAGGTATTTCTGTCTTTTTATATCCAAGTGTTGCTTTTGCCTTTTCAAGTGAAAAAGTGCCTCGTTTCTGTCAATACTTCTACAATCAAGGCAATGGCAGCACATATAAATCATACCTACACTCACACACTTAATCAAATTACAATACATTAAAGATGTTTCTGCCTGCAACAACTGCATTCCCCAAACCACTGCTGGAAAACCAAAGTGCTTCAAGATTTACAGGGCACACAAAAACCAGCAGATCCTCCAGCAACTCAAACCATATTTCCTCATTTTCCTCTGAAGTCCTTCAAAAAAAAAAAAAAACAACAAACCCTTTCAGCTAAACCAGACCCTCACAGAAATAGGAACACATAAAAGTTTGAAGACTCAGGGAGGAAAAAAATCTTCTAATAAAGATGAAGTTTGATGCAGGGAGAAAAAACTTTTAATAAAGAAGCAGCTTGATGGGAAGTTTCTCCACTGCAGGGCCTGAGTCACAGGCAACAACTGAAGGGCAACTGAGCATTTTTTATGGACCTCTCACTTGGATATATAAAATTGGGGAGTGCTTCCCTTGGGTTTGGACCTAAAGGAAGCAAATGCTAAGCAGAAACTGCCCATGGCCCCTCAGCTATTTATTTCTAATACCCAGCTCAGGTTAAACAGCTCACAGTTAAAAGCATCTTTTATGTGAGTAAAAAATCATTTAACATAAAATGTTTCTAACTCAAACACAATCAGATATTTACTTGACCTTAATGATAGCTTATTTCTCATTTTGGCTAACAGTTACTGAAATAAATCAATCTCAGAGTGGCTGGAGTTTAAAAAAAAAATGTCAAATAGGCTTAAACTTTAAATTAAATTAGTTGCATTTCTCACTGCATCAGACAATAAAAGGAACCAAGAAAGGGACACTGAAATTCCTCCTAATTCCACAAGTTCTGGGAGGCCACACAAGGAGTTAACACCTCTGGGGCTGATGGATCATCTCCACATTCCCTGAGGTCTGACCATAAGGGCATTGGCTCTCACATCTCATCCAGAATGGGACCCCTGAACTGATGCATATGAAAAACCAAAAAATGAAAATGTATTTATCTGGGTTGCAGCAAACATGAAAGGAAGGGCAAAAAAAAAATCATTAAAAAAAGATCTGACAAGTTCATGTGGATGCTCTGCATTTAGCTCTTGTTTTAGAGCAACAGTCTGTTATGTTGGCTCCTCTACAGTTTAATGATTTCCTGTTAAGAATTTAAAATTAGAAGCCTCCAACAACTTCCCCATAAACTATTTTCAAGGTTCCTTTAATATCCACATCAAGGAGATATAGTAGGTTCATATGTTATCCATGTCAGTTCGCTTCCTTCCCACTTCAAAATAAGCACATTGCAGGGAAATTCAGCAGGTTTTTATTGTTTTCTTAGAACCTTTTTTTCCTCCCTAACCATGCCCAGCTACAGTAATTAAAAAAATAAAGCTGTTCACAGACACAAGCTCATATTTAAACCGTGACAAAACAAGAACTGCTAGTCTAATGTGAAAAGCCTAAACTGTGCCAGGATTATGATCCCAAATCCTGATTTTCCATTGATGAGTTAGCTCGAATTTTCAACTGCATCCACACTGAACTTCATCCTCGTTACCACATTCATTTGACAAACACATTTTTGCTCTGACAGCTATCTTACCTTTGAGGAAAACATGCAAACAACACTCTGGCAGCACATGAAACAGATTCCATGTTTTTCCTCCAGGCTTCCTGGAACTATAGTCCTAAAAGAAAAAAAAAAAAAAGAAAAAGACAGTATTTATTTATTTAGCAATAATTGCAGTAGTTATACTACTACACCACATTTATAAAATTATTTGAGACAGACATATAAAAGGCAGAGCATCTGCAGGGCTCCCCTCTTAGTTCCTCACTGGGTCAGTGAAAGGGCTCACACAAACACTGATCACCACTTCCCTGACAAGAACCCCTAAATCCCCATCCATACCTACCCCCTGAAAATGTTCATTATGTGAACACTTCCTAATTGCTTTCAGTTAAAGGCAAGTCAGGTGAACCTGCAGGTCACTTCCCCTGACCTGAGAACGCAGCAATGAGAAAAAAGCAGCAGGAGAAGAGGCAGTTCTGCTGCTTCCTGCATGACCTGTAACCAAGGTACAGCTCCTAATTTGGCTGAAATATAAATCTGCAAGCACAACTAAAAAAAAAAACAACCAAAGGAACAAAAAGAAAACAAACCTCTTTTCAGTTTGCAGCTCAGCCACAGAGTCAATAAACTGTGAGACAAAGACAATGCTGTTACTTTCTGCAGTGATTTTCAGACCCAACTGGCTTGTTAGTCATCAAACTATGGTTTCACAAACGGATTTGGGAAAGAATCCCAGAATGGTTTGGGTTGGGAGTGACCTTAAAGCTCATCCAGTTCCACCCCCTGCCATGGGCAGGGACACCTCCCACTAGCCCAGGTTGCTCCAAGCCCTGTCCAGCCTGGCCTTGGACACTTCCAGGGATCCAGGGGCAGCCACAGCTTCTCTGGGCAACCTGTGCCAGGGCCTCCCTACCCTCACAGGGAGGAATTTCTTCCCAATATCCCACCTAACCCTGCCCTCTGGCAGTGGGAAGCCATTCCCCCTTGTCCTGTCACTCCAGGCCCTTGTGAAAAGTCTCTCTCCATCTTTCCTGCAGCTCCCTCAGGCACTGGAAGGCCGCAGTCAGGTCACCCCAAAGCCTTTTCTTCTCCAGGCTGAACAATCCCAACTCTCAGCCTTTCATGGGAACAACCTCCTCCAGCACTGGTGAGCTTCAGCAACTCACTGCTGTCCAGAAACAGTAACTCAGTACTCAGAGCTGGTTGGGATTTTAGGGCTTTTTAAGGATTTTGAGGCCTGGGGGGAGCAGAAGAGCATCAGGCTCCAACCACACTCTACTGAAACAGCACAACCATCTTTGCAGATGGAAAATCTCTTCCATACGAGCTCCTTCCACACAGAGAACTCCGACAACCAAGGGGTTGTTTGATCTCTAGGAGCACTTTTTTTTTTTTACAATTTGAAGACTGATTAGATTTTCTTTATGCATTTACCCATCACAAAGCTTGTCTGCCTCTCCTTCCCCTCCGATGACACCCAGATGTCCCTCCAGACGCTGGACACGTGAGGGGTTCACAGGCCCAGCTGCAGCTTCAAAAGCTCAGATTCCAGCAGACAGACAGACAGACAGACAGACAGGCTGAGGGCTTTTCCCTCAACAACAGCCCTCACCACACGCTGCTTTTTTTTTTTGTTTTGTTTGTAAACGTCCTTCAAATGTTTCCCTGCACAAAAAAGACAAAAGAAAAGAGAGAAGACACCACCAAAGATAAGGATATCCATCAGAACCTCTGCCAGCAAACGCTGGAGTCAGAGGGATTTTCCAACATCTGCAATTATTAATGAGCAATTGCATTAAAGGAATTTACTGATGTGCAAATGCACGTCATTGCACGGAGCCACTTTGCTAAGAAGTTCCCAATACAGATTAAGGAGGAAAAAAAAAAATCATTAAACAAACAGGATAACTCCTAAGTTTAAAGACCTTCAGAGGACTAATAAATTATTTAATAAAATAGATTTTGTGGGTCAGTTTTGCTGCTAAATATGTTACTTTGATGGTTACCTACTATCTCAACATTAAACACATACAGTGAACTGAGAACTTCATCAACTCTCTAATAACACCTTTAAAGCAAAATAAATATTTAATATAGAAGAGCACCAAGTTGCTCAACACACAAATATATTAAATCACACAGTATTAATAAATAACAAATGCTTCTATATTTAAATTCTATTTCTACCTAGAGATTAAATCACTTTTGCCATGAAGATTATTCTTCAGGCTCCACCAAAATGAATTGTGGCCTGAATACATAACGTGCTCCAGAGAAAGTTAATATAACATCCCTCTTCCATAGATACATTTATTTCTTCTCCTGGAACATGCACATTGTAGTTTTGTCTACAAAAAAATTACCAGGCAGTAAAAGGTGTAGCCTGGCTTATTTTTCAAAACATAGTAATTTATCAAGAAGATAAAGCCCATTGCCACGCTGCTTGAAAAGTATATTTACCTTAGCTATTATTTTTAGAAAAATTATTAGGCCCTTTATTTTAAAGCAAAAAAAAAAAAGGGCATTATGAGTTCAAGAATTACCATTTTTAATATATTAACAATACTTTTTCCTTCATGCACTGAAAAACTTGTGCCCTCCTAACAGGCCCCCAACCTTCCTAAACTAGCCCTCCAAAAGAAAGTGGGATAAATAGCCTCTCCTGGGGGGGGGGGGATAATTGCCAACAGAAAACAGCTGTATTCCCTCAACTGAAATAAATTCATTTAATGTCAGAAAATGAGAGAAAAACAGCCACCAGTAGGAAAAGCAGAAGGAAAAAGAGGACAAAGCAACGTTCCATGGTCTGTTTATGTGGCGTTCCTTTCTTCCCACCCCATAACATTTCTTTCTGCAAGTAAAGGACAGAGAATAATGTCCTCTCACAAAATGGGAGGAATAGCAACAATTTAGGATTATTAAAAATAACATGCCCAAAGTGCAGAAGCTCTGCCTCCTATAATTCTTAAAATAAAAAAAAAAAATCCAAACAATAAGTCCCAGTAGCAGTCCTACATTAGCCAAGAAAACCAAATTAAGACTAGATAGAAGAAGAAATATTTCCCAGTATAGTCAGTGCACCAAGCATTTGGGTTTTTTGTATTCATGAGTTTGAAAAATGCCAAATATTTAACTCTGAATAAGAGTTCTGTTCAAGAGCACATTAGAGCAGTCACACTTGAGTGATATCAGCTTGGTGAGATAACTAAATCTACACCAAGAGTCCTTACCTGTGTTGCACTGGGGTAGTTAAATCACCGGCTACACAGGGTGAGTCTCGTTTAGACCAAATGACCTAAAAATCTCCCACCTGTGTCTGGGAACCACCCAACACGTTCCTAGGGGCGTGTGTGAGCCCTGCAGGGAACACAAATTGGGAAGAAAAACATGCCTTAAAGAGCTTGCTGAAGATAATGAGATATTGATAAAATATAGAGGCACTCCCACGTGGGGTCACAGGGCTCATTTAGGGAGGAAAAGGGTGTTTTTACCACATGGCAGCCAAGAAGGAACACCACAGAGGTCAGAAGAATGTCAGGTTCAACAGCAAACCTCCTCAAACTCCGGGTGCCCAGGTATTGCTCACAGGAGCTGCCGACACACCTGGAAGTCACAAAAAGCCCAATATCAGCTGCGTGTTAGCACAGGTGAGCTGTAAATAATATTTACACTCTTAAAGAGGTTTAGGCTGGGCAGGCCCTGGAGCTCGGCATGAGGGGGGATGTTCATTAGGGTGGGAAGGGATCTCTGGATATCACCCACTCCTGCCAAGGCAGGGGCACCTGGAGCAGGAGCCTTGACTGCATCCGAGCGGGTTTGGAATGTCTCTGGAGAGGGAGATTCCACACCCTCCCTGGGCACCTGTTCCAGTGTTCGGCCACCCCCCTCCATGTAAAGAACTTCTTCCTCCTGTTCAGGTGGAACTTCTGGCGTGGCCTTTGCTCCTCCTCCTGTCGCTGGGCACCGCTGGAAGAGAGTCTGGCACCATCCTCCGGCGCCCACCTTGGAGATATTATATTTAATGTGCGCTAACGAGACCTGCTCAGCCTCCTCTTCTCCAGAATAACCAGGCCCAGCTCCCGCGGTCCCTCCTCATCGGGGAGACGCTCCAGACCCTCCGTTCTCGGCTGTGCTCCCTCACGTTCCCCCGCGGCCCCTCGCTGTGCCCTCAGCCCCGCGGCGGTTCCCTCGTGCCTCCCTCACAAATCCCCCGTTATCGCTCCGGCCGCAGCCGCCCGCCCGCGCCCGGGGAGGGCTGAGGGACCCCGGGAGCGCCCCGGGACACCCCGGGGCGTGAGGGGGAACGGGCTGGGGGACGAGAGCCCCGGGGCGTGAGGAGGGCAGGGCTGCGGGAGCCCCGGGGCGTGAGGAGAACCAGGCGAGCAGCGGGACGAGAGCTCCGGGAGCCCCGGGGCGTGAGGGGAACCAGGCGGGCAGCGAGACGAGAGCTCCTGGGCGCGAGGCGGAGCGGGCGGGTAGATGGACGAGAGGCCCGGGGCGTGAGGGGAAACGGGCAAGGGGGACGAGAGAGCCGGGGGGTGAGGAGGGCAGGGCTGCGGGATCCTGCCCCGGGGCGTGAGGAGGAGAACGGGCGGGAGGCGGCGGGAGCCCCGGGGCGTGAGGCGGGGCGGGCAGGGCGGCGGGAGCCCCGCGAGGCGGAGCGGGCGGGAGGCGGAGGGAGGGAGGGAGGGGAAGGCGGCTCCGCACAGCCAAGATGGCGGCGGTGGAGCTGGAGTGGGTGCCCGAGACGCTGTACAACACGGCCATCTCGGCCGTGGTCGACAGCTACGGGCGGGCGCGGCGCCGCGACATCCGCTCGCTGCCCGAGAACATCCAGTTCGACGTGTACTACAAGGTACGGGGGGGGGGGCGGCCGAGCGGGGCCCCGGCCCGGCCGGGCCTGCGGGAGCGGGAAGGAGAAGCGGCCCCGGGGGTCGGCCCGGGCCTGGCCGCGCTGAGGGGCCGCGGGGCCCCTGAAGGACGGGCCGGGGGGACCGAGGGCCTGTGGGGCCGCCTGGGCTGCGGGTCGGGGCTCGGGCAGGGCCGGGGCCCTGCGGGTGCCCCCGGGAGCCGCCCCGAGGCCGCGGTGAGGGGCTGGGGGAGCCCCCGAGGGGACGCGGGCACGGGGCCCGTCCTTGGGGGCCGGGGGGAAGGGGCCTCCTCGCCGTTGGGGAGCGGTTGGGGCAGGATGAGGCCAGGCTGGATGTGTTGGAATATGTGTTTTTCCTTTTTGCCTTTTTTTTTTTTTTTGCCTTTTTTTTTTCCCATTTTTTTTTAATGTATTGGAGATGGTGATGTCAGTGGTTGAAGGAGCGCTTTGCCGTGCTCTGGTATTAATGATCTGGTAGGAGCCAGATGAGAAGGACTGAGAGTCGTTTGACGGTGTAGTTTATTAGCATTAAATCATTCCTTGGTGAAAGGGCTGTTTCTCATTCAGCTGCCCCTGAAATGTAGAGAGTTGCTGTAAAAGGTGTACTGAGATGGTCCATTAATTTCCATTGTCCACTAAAGAGACATTTCATCCGTGTGCAGGAACTGCTGGAAATGAGCATCATCAGGAGAGAAACAGCGTGTGTAAAACCCTCCCCAAAAACCTAAGATGGGGGATAACCCTTCTTTCCTCTGCCGGCGAATTTCTAAAAATTGAGGATTTCTTGAGTGAAGTAATCCTTTAGGTGAATTTTTATGAACCAGAGGTAGTGATATCCATCATATACATAGAGAGTAATAGTATTTATAAGGAATGCCTTCAGTGGACACAGGGAAGCTGCTTCTGTGGCATTGAAACGGGCATGAACATTTTCTGTGTACTGGTTGTTACTTGTCTGCCTTGGGTGTTGAGGAGGATGGAAACCCCTTTTTACCACACATGGGTGTGCTCATGGATAAATGATGTGATTGACACATGGTAATAATCAGATAAAGGCTAAAGATATGGAAAAATATTTTGGAGGTCACTTTTAACTGTTAGTAGATATGACCTATTGACAAATAAACTTCCTTGGCATTGCCTGTCTTCATGTTCATTCAGGTGAGAGGATGGTGCTCTGTGGCTTTTAAAAGCATAAAACCAAAACCTCTGTCTGATGATAGAAATGTCCAAGTGTTGTTTAAAAACTCACTTGCAGGTGAGCTTAATACATCACTGATTTCTGGTGCTTTTATTGGCAGTGTTCAGTGGTTGCATTGACTCAGGTTCGTGGGGAGTTGTTCCATGATGAAAAAAGGTCCAGCAGCACATCTGAGTTCTGAAGAGACCTTCTGACCTGTTTGTTCTGCTCGTGTGTGTTGGTTTGTTGTCTTGTTGGGTAATAAATGTGCTGAGTACCTGTCCCCAGAATAATGTTTGTGTTGTACTGACAGTATTGCTGTTGTTAGTGACTGTAATTTCATAGAGTCACAGAATGGTTTGGGTTGGCAGAGGCCTTAAAGCTCATCCTGTTCCAATCCCAACACCTTCCTCTAGCCCAGGTTGTCCGACCTGGCCTTGGACACTTCCAGGGATGGGGCAGCCACAACCTGTGCCAGGGCCTTGCTACCTGAGATATTTTTTCCTAATATCCACTCTAAACCTCATCTGTGTCAGTTTGAAGCCATTCCCCCTTGCTTTTTCTGTTCCTTCTGTGTTTTACAACAGGACAGTCTTTGGTGACCTGGAATGTGTGAGGTGCACCAACATTCCTCTCACCAGTCTGCATCTCTGGGATGGCCCCCAGGGAACAGGAAAACTGGGCCCCTCGTGCAGTGAGTGTTCCTTGGCTGCCCAGGGCAGGCTGGGCTTCTGCTCCTGCCACTTTTCTGTGGAGGAGAACCAATTTTAGGCCAGGAGCAACCTGGTCTGGGGAATGACATCCCTGCCTGTGGCAGGGGGTTGGAACGACATGGGCTTTAGGGTCCCTTCCCACCCAAACCATGCTGTGATTCCATAACTGTCCTCTTTAATAGTCACATTCAAATTAGCTTATCCATAAATGTCCCTAAACCCTGGATGGGATGCTGAGAGATGTCCTCAGCCCTCACTAAAGAGTGTGTGCCTGCAGTGAGTGCCTCAGAGCCCAGCCCAGGGTGCAGATCTCCTGAAACAGTGTTTGCATTTTCTGTACACCTGCAGAACTCTTGGTAACTGGTTCTTGCTGTCTCTCTTTGCCTGGTGACAGCAGTACAAGTGGTGTAGCTGTTCAGTTCTGGATACAGTTACGTGGAAAATCAGGTGGATTTTAATGCCATTTCAGCCTGGTGAGCCATATGCCATTCATCCTGACCATCCAGAAGTAGAATTCCCAAAGTAAGACAGACTAGAAGACTATTAAATCTTTGTTTGGCTCCCTGGTGGTGTTGCTGCTGTGTTGGGGTGGTGTCAGTTGTTAGCATCCTGTGGAACAGGACTTATCCTTCAGATACAGCTGAGGAAAAGTGCTGTGTGATTGAGGATTTGCACAAATACACCTGCATTTAGACCCTAAAAGAGGCAGAGAATCCCTCTTATGTGATCATTAAAAGATAAAAATAATTTTTTCCCCAATCTTTCACATATGAGTGAGTATAATTTGGAAGTAATGGTTTGTTGTCCAGCTCTTAATCATGGTTGTGGTACTGGAGAAGGTTCCACTGATTTTTGCAGAAAATAAATGGTGGTGTCAGTCAGGTTGTATTTTGATATACAGATATTAATTGGCTGTGGCCATACAGAACTTTTTGTATCATATTCATTGATATCAACACTCAAACTTATTTGCCAGGCTGGCACAGGTTTACCAGTGTGTTCAGGTTGATTCAGAAGCCACAGACAAGATCCAGCAGCAGAGACAATCACTGTGCTGGGATTTAAAAGGCAGGAGAGTGCCAGCAGAGTGTCTTGGTTTTTTCCCCAGGGTTCCCTCTGATCCAGTGTTTGGCTCTATTGTCACAATATATTGCCTGTGTTTATTGAACAAATTCAATTAGTTTGAACTTTACGTCTTCCAGAATTGTTAAATTTTGGGACTTGAGTGAAGACCTGACCCTGGGGTAGCTGTGGGATGTTCTTGGTGTGGGTTTGGTAAGAGATGGGTCCTGCTGCAGAGTCCCAGGAGCAGGCAGGCCCCTCACACTGAGCACGTTTGTCTTTCTGGAGCATTCTCAAACAGTGAGTAAAGCTCAAAACAAGGAATATCAAATAATCATGACTGTGGTAAAACAACAAATCTGTCCTGGTTCAGCAGGGTGTCACTGGATATCTTTTTTTTTTTTTTTTCAAGCAGCGTTTGACTTTTCCTTGCAACCATTAGAGGCAGAGCAGGACACTTGGGAGGATATCCTGGAAATTTCCAAGCCTACATTTGAGCTAAAAAAATATTTAAATGTCTTATTAATCACAGCTGTATTTTGAAGAGCTTAATAACTAGTATTGTTACAAGTAACACCTGCCTCTGGAGGGCAAAATAAAAATGTGCTCACATATGATACTTTATTTCCCTTGGGTGTTTGCCAGGTGTGTGTATATCCTGGTTGGGTTGTTTCCTAGTTAAACTAGTCAGGTTCTATTTCCTCTTGGTTTTGTTTTTTTTTTTTTGGGCTGGGGGGAAAAGAGGGAGAGGGGGTGTAGTTTTTAGAAGCCAAAGAAAAAACTATACTGGATCTCATTTAGCTGAGATCCAGCATATGAGCAAAATGCCAAAATTCTACATCAAAAAGTGGTGACAGCTGGAATAAACTGTAAGTCCTCAAAAAAAAAAATCAAATGACTATATTTTGTAGTTTGTTGGGGTGAGGATGGAGCTCTGAGGGAGGGTGTTCGTGTAAGGGATCTCGTTTTTGTTGGCAGAAATCAGATACTGAACTCTGTAGTCGGTGCCCTGCACAGAATTCAGCTCTTTCCTCCTGTGCCTCAGCCTTATATTCTGCTTTGTGTAATTATCTCATTACTTTGGGTCTCCAGGTGCTTTAGTGTTCTCTGTCCCAGGTATTTGTTGCAGTTAATCACTGACAGGCTCATCTCGGACTTGTGTTGGTTAACAAGGAGTTTCATCCCATGTTTATTTTCCTTTTGGAATGTCTTTTCTGGACTGTGTGTTTTTGGTTCTTTACAAATTTTTCTTGACAATAATTTGCGTCCAGTGTTCTTGGAATGCTTTCTGATGTGATCATTAACCACAGGAACAGTTGGGGATGACATGAATTTGGTTTCCATCACGTCTGGGTGTGTTTTGAACCAAAGAAAGTGAGCAAACAGGAATTTGCTGACTTGTTCCCAGCAAGCAGCAGAACGTCCGTTCCCTGCATTGCAGCACAGATTGAGCTCAGAGATCAGGTTTGCTGAGGGGGGACCATCATCATTTCTGTAAATCAGAATGAAACTGTCCCATGTGAGGAGGAGAAACTCCCCCTGAAGTGAAGTGTGGCTGAGCTTCCCTGCCCAGGGCAGCACAAACAAGGTCCCCAGCTCAGTGTGTGAGGGAGGCAGAGCATCCCAGAGCCTCCTTCTGTGGGATCCTGCTGGGACCCCCCAGTGGGATTTCAGACCCTGCTGGTTTGGGGTCAGAACTGAAGCATGTGCTGGTTTCTGGTGTGCACACCCCCTGCAGCCTCCCTGCTCCCCTCCCTGAGTGCTGCTGGAACCAAACCTGCCCTTCTGC